TGGAACTCCACAGTAATTAATCACCAATCCAAGTGCTTCACCCTGTGGAAGAAGTCAGAACCAAAGAGGAGAATGTTTTTCAGACTCCTGCAGGTGTGATAAAGTCTACTCATCCCAGTTTTGAAGCAAGAACTGAGGGAGGTCAACATTGCTTTGTTTCTTTGCATTCTGGGTGAGAACTTACTGGATGTTCTTTTATGGCTTCACATTTAAAATTCAGAAAACTAAAAATACTTGGTTAAGTAGTTAGAACTCAGTTACTCTGTTGTAAGTCCTAGATCTGCTTTCTTTCTTTTTTTGTTTTTTTTTTTCAGCACAAGTGCCTTTATCTCTTTCTGCTCTACCCAAACATTTATCTACCAACTCAATGGCACACAGCGTATCAAGACACATCTTTTCCTGTATCTGTTGCTCTTGAACAGCACAAACTTAAATACCTTCATGTAAGATGTAAGTTAAAATAGTTTGAGCTCCTCCATAAAGCTCAAGTTTTATCATGCTAAGGATTTACTGTGCAACATAAATTGTGGGCATCACAGTCGGAGTCAAAGAAGGGAAATCAGGAGCAGACAACAGAAGGGCATTTATTCTACTTAAACACACTGTTTTGTGTGAGGAGTTAGAGTTAAGACAAGTACTCTGCTACTTCGCATTGTTTTGTATCGATTACTCCGAATGAGCACAGATAGTATTTCTGTAATCATACAATACAACATTTGGATGAGTTACTATCGTTATTTTATAGCAGAGTCCTCCTGATCACTCTAAAGAAATGCAAAATTGGATTCCTAATTTGAGAGATATGGAATTAAAAGGAGTAAATGAAACTGTGTATTTAAGGAATCTATGGGGGAGAACACATTTCTCTACTGTTTTGTTGTCTGCTATGGTGTATTTGCTAGTTTGCATAAGAAGATGAACTAACAGGCAATTTTTTTGTTAATTCTAGGGAATGATAACCCTGAATTGGACCATCTCTCCAGTGTCATAAAATTCCCCAAGTATCAAAGCATCAGAATGTGAATATAAAAGGCATCCTAACATATAAACTCATGTTGAAATTTAATCACTATGAGGTACTGAGAGGTGAGCTAATGTGGGATCATAAAGAGATAAACTAGGTTCCTCTTTCGTGAAAAGATTAATGTATTCATACAATTACTGGATTACTGAGTTAATCTATCATAGAAGTCATTTGGATAAATGTTTTCTTTTTAAAGCTTTACTTATTGTAATTTGAAAGACTGATTTTACACATACAGGGAAGATAAAGAAGGTCTTTCATCATCTGGTTTATTCTCTAAAATGCCACAATGACCAGAACTTAGCCGATCTCAAACTAAGAGATAGGAGACTTTTCTGTGTCCTAAGACTTGGGCCATTCTCTGCTGTTTTTCCAGGCCATTATTAGAGAGTTGAGTTGGAAGTGGAGGAGCCAGGAAACTAACTGGTGCCCAAATGGGATACTGCTGCCACAGGGTGGAAGATTATGTTGCTGCATCATCACACTGGCCCCAGGTTAGATGCCTTATGTGCTGTCATTTTCTCACTGTTGAATTGCCTTTGGTCTGTGTAAGCAAGAAGGTTATCATCAGATATGGACCCATGGAATAATGATCCTAGGGTCATCTGACAAAGTAATACTTTTTTTCTTTATGATTTATTTATTGTGTGGTGTTGTGCTATTACCAACATCAAATTTACTAAGATACATGAGTTATTGAAGTCTGGAGGTCAGCTGTAAGGAGGAGTCATAACACAAATGAAATCCGCGTTGAAAGAGAAGTACCCAACAAACACAGAAGGATGGCCAGAGAAGAAGGATGACAGAAGGATAAAGGAAGATGTTTTAGCCAACAGTAAAATACTCAACACATAGAAAGTTGCGACAAAAACGAGAATTAATCCCACAGTAGTTTTCATGACAACAATTGAGAATAAAATTCATACAGCATTTAATGGATTGAAGAGTGGGAGGTAGCTGAAACATTGAACAAAATTCTTTTTATACATTTTCCTATTATGGGCAAGAAAAAAAAGTATCTAAAAGGGGAATAGGGTGAAAAGATACTCCTTTTCTTCCGAAAACTTATACATAGAATGTTTTTTTTTTTTTCTGAATAAAGTCAGCAGAGATGAGAATGGCCAATAGATAATAGCAATGCTATGAATATTTAATATTTAATCACAGTAAATTAGACAATGGGTTATTTTTTTTTTCAAAAATAAGAATTGAGAGAGGGAGAATAGCAAGAACCAGAATGGAAATGAGAGCAAGACAGAGAAAGATGTTTTTCAACCGATAATTCATTTTCCAAATGTCTATAACAGCTGGGACGAGAATCTACGAACTCCTATCAGGGTTTCGGGTCCAAACTGTCCGAACCATTGCCTTATGTTTTCCAGAGTGCGAATTTGTAGGAAGGTGTAATCAAAAACAGAATTGGAATTTAAACCCTGACAACCAGTGACTTGTATTATATTTTCAGAAATGGGTACAAGGAACAATGTGATATAATTAAGGAATAGGTGTTAGCAAGAAAATGTTTGGCATCATGGTTTGGGGAATAAATGACACATTAAAATGAAAGTATGTTGCTGATATAGAGAGGCGAGAGTGTAGGTGAAGAATTGAGATAGAGCCTCTGTAAAAAAAAAAAGCTCATGTTTGAGATTTTTGTGAATGAAGATTTGTGTATCAGATAAGCTATGAAGAAATGATATTTCAGTTTCCCTCAAACTTGAGAAGTTAGTATCTTGTGTTTTTAATGTATTTAGAGATAGTATTTGTTGATGTTCAATAGTGAACAGACAATATCGGTTTGCGTTTAGTTTTCGGTCAGCACAATTGCAGCTCATCTTTGTCTTCTTTTTAATAGCTGCCAAATGAGCAATTTGATTACTTCATTCTAAACTTATCTAACTGAGATTTTGGAAGTAAATTCATTTTTCCCTATTCAACTTCTTAATCTACTATGGTATTCCTGTGTTGGCTTGAAGTTCCTTATTCCATCATATTGAAATCATTGGGACTACTATTCCAGTATTAATAGTGTTTCTATGTTTTTAAAACTAAAATGTTGCTTAACAGCAGATTTATATGCACTATAAAGAAAACAAATACAGATGAAGAAAGTTAGTAAATATTTAATGAAGTAGTATGGATGTATAAATTATTTCCTATTTCACATGAAAGAATTGTTGAGATATTTACATTCACCAATCCCGGCTCCTGCCTCAGGAGTGCACTCACCTAACTCATTCAGACCCTATTTAGAATTTAACACAAAACAAATTCAACCTGAAGAGCTAGCAAGTTTTTATCCTTATCCTACTGTCACAATTTATGATTTATTTATTTAGACTGGAAAGTTAGATTTACAGAGAAAATGAGAGACAGAGAGAAAGATTTTCTGCCCGCTAATTCACTCCCCAAGTGGCTGCAACGGCTGGAGCTGAGCCAATCTGAAGCCAGGAGCCTCTTCCTGGTCTCTCACATGGGTGCAGGATCCCGCCTTTGGGCCATCCTCGACCGCTTTCTCAGACTACAAGCAGGGATCTGGATGGGAAGTGGAGCTGTTAGGACAGGAACCAGTGCCCATATTTGGTCCTAGTGCATGCAAGGTGAGGACTTTAGCCACTAGGCTACCACATTGAGCCCTTACTTCAGAAATTTATCAAATTGTGTGAGTAGCTATTCCGAAGGTTTAATAGAAGAAATGACTCTTCATGAGACTGAAACATAATCAAATATTTCACTCAGCTTTATGTATCCTGAATGATATTAACTTTAATATAAACCCATTCTGTGTTATAAAATGCATTACACTATGTATTTTTATATTCAGCATGCTTTCTTGTACTGAGGTACTGATTTTTCAGAGATTAATAAAGATGTGTGATTCAGCAACTGTGCTAAGTGCTAGTGACAAATTCCATAAAGTCCAATAAAGAGGGAACAACTATTTCAGGGGAGATGGCAAAGGGGCATTTTTTAGGGGAATAAATATGAAAGGTTATTCTAGGCCTCATGACTCCTCACAAAAAAATTATTCATTGTTAATTACTTTTTAATTTGCGAGGAAATTGATGTATACTCTTCAATGCTGTCATGGTCATAAACAGCATTTCCAGACAGTTTCAATTGAGTAGAAAGAAACAGATGAGTATACAGAGTTGAAACTTAAGAAATATCTGATAGGTAGATAGTAATTTCCTAAATAGTTGCTTAATCGAGCACAAAAAGGAGCAACTAGCAACAATCAATATTAGCATCGCTAACTCTCCATCCTTTAGGCTCTCTTAGGGGTTTTCACAAGAATGAGTTTGGTGCTGATATGTGTGCTTTGAGGGAGGGACTATTCAATATCTTTTCAGGCAAGGATATATCAGATATAAGGCTTGCCTAAAGTTGTGGAAGAAATTGACAGCCAGATTACCACGCAAGCAACATGACAGTATTGATAACCCAGTGATTTCCAGTCTATAGAAGAGTAAGAATAGACAAAATGAAACTGGATAGCAACGTAAGTAATAAAATGGCTGATTTAGTAGTATTTGAGGAATATTGCAAAAATGTTTTAAATTGTATTTATTTGAGTGACAGAGTCACAGAGGAAGAGGCAGAGAGAGAGAGAAAGAAGAGAGAAAAAGGGTCAAAGAAAGAGAGAAAGAGATCTTTCATTTACTGGTTCACTCCCCGGACTGAAACAATGGCAGAAATCAGTTCCGTTAGGACCCAGGGGCTTCCTGTGGGTCTCCCCTATGAATGTTGCAGTCCAAGTATTCAGGCTAGCTTCTGCTGCTTTCCCAGGCCATTAACAAGGAGTTGGATCAGAAGTGGAGCAGCCAGACTCCAACTGGTACCCATATAGGATACTGCTGTTGCAAATGGGGCTTAGCGTGCCATAGCATGCCACCAGCTCCACAAAATGGTATCCGAATCTATGTTTTCCGTAATTCTTCAATTGTCTTTTGCTTTTTTGGATAGGCAAAAGGCAATGGCAAATCTCAACACCAGTTTTAAGGAAGGCTTCATTTTGGTGGGCTTCTCAGACTGGCCTCAACTGGAAGTTTTCCTTTTTGTCTTTATTTTGATTTTCTACTTTCTTACTCTTTTTGGTAACACATCCATCATAGCGCTTTACCAACTGGACATGCGATTACACGTGCCCATGTACTTTTTCCTCTGTCATCTCTCTTTCTTGGACCTCTGTTACATCACCAGCACTGTGCCCCAGCTTCTAATCAACCTGCATAAACTTGACCGGACCATCAGCTATGGAAGATGTGTGGCCCAGCTTTTCATCTTCCTTGGCCTGGCCTCCACTGAGTGTTTGCTTCTGGTGGTGATGGCATTTGACCGCTATGCTGCTGTATGCCATCCACTTCAATATGCAACCATTATGCACCCTCGTCTCTGTCAGACATTGGCTATTATATCCTGGATGGTAGGCTTTATAAATTCTTTGATTCAAACAGGTCTCATGATGGCTTTGCCACTCTGTGGCCACCAGCTGAACCATTTCTTCTGTGAGATGCCTGCCTTTCTGAAGTTGGCTTGTGAGGACACAGAAGGAACGGAAGCCAAGATGTTTGTGGCTCGTGGCATAATCTTGGTTGTTCCTGCTGTACTCATTTTAGGTTCCTATGTATGCATTGCTCAGGCAGTCATGCGGGTTAAGTCAATGTCTAGACGCAAAAAGGCTTTTGGAACTTGTGGGTCTCACCTTTTAGTAGTTTCGTTTTTTTATGGCTCAGCCATATATACATACCTCCAACCCATCCACAGTTATTCTGAAGGTGAGGGAAAATTTGTTGCCCTTTTCTATACAATCATTACCCCCATTCTCAATCCTTTGATTTATACATTAAGGAACAAGGATGTGAAGGGAGCTCTGAGCAAGGTATTAGGAAAAGGAAGAGATTAGAGGTTCCCTAATATTTTCATACTCCCCAAATGGCTACAATGGCTGGGGCTGGGTCGGCCTGAAACCAGGAGCCAGAATGGTTGTCTTATGCAGGTGGTTAGTGTCCACACTCTTCTATTATGCGCCGCTGCTTTTTCCAAACCATGAGCAGGCAGCTATATCAGAAGTGAAGCCTGAGAGTCAAAACAGTTCCCATGTGAGATACTGGCAGCACAGGCAGCAGCTTTACCTGCTATGCCAACAGTTCTGATACTCCCTATTTATACACAGTAAGGCTCATGTTATAAAGATTTAAATCACACAACCAGGTTCACGGAACAAATATAATGTTAAGGTGATATCTGAAGTTTTCTATATTCTTAAATCTAAATTTAGTGAGCTACTGATACACACATAACAGTCTTTTTTTCTTGCAAGTATGTTTTCATGGTAGATAGGTCATCCATGTAGGGCCCTATACTCTGTGTCTTCCTTGGATTTTCTCATGTCAATGGTGGCTACATGATCATTGCAGGTAGTATGTGCCTTTAGTCTTTCAGTATCAGTGGAGTATTTCCAAATTCTCAGTTGCCCATCTAAGAGAGCAAGTTAGACTTGCTATGTGAATTAGCATTTAAACTCTCGGCACCTATGTCCTTTGTGTTTTAAAGCCCCATTAGCTGCTACTTGAAACCTGGATGCTGTATGTCCTTTACCTGCTAAACCACCTACATGAGATTTGGGTTAAGAAATAAGGATTGATAGAATACTTGAAGGGAAAGATGTGGGGGACTTAGGATAAAATGTTTCATCCTAGACTGGCTTTTCATATGAAAAGTGAAGGGATAATTTAACAAAGCAGAAATAATATATGCTTAGAGCATTTTTATTACTACAGGCTCTAAACACTGTTGGGTTAGTGTTTTTTAAAATGAAAATATCAGAAGACAAAATACTACTTGTACATTTATGTGTATTTCATGGTATTTAAGTGTATTTCAATAAAATTATTTTTTGTTTTTATTTATTTTTAAATGTGTTATTTTCCATGGTACATTTCCCCTTTGCTCTCTATTTTCTCGTCCTACCACTTTGCTCATGTTATTGCAGAAACACAGTCCTTGAGTAACATTTACAAGTTCAACAGTTTGCTATTTAAGTACATTATGGAATTGCAGGTATAGACAAAGACAAGAAATAAAATTATTTTGAAAAGTTAATGAAAGATATGTATTGTGAAAACATTGTGTTGCTTGCAAAATATTGGCGTCAAAATTAAAAAATGAATAAAGATTTCATTAATATTACTTTCATCATGTGTACTTAAAATTTGCAAGATTATCTCAGAGATAATTGTCCACTTTTGCTGCATTTACTCAACATGAATGGAGGTAATCACTACATCACCGAGACACAACTCAGAAATAAAAGATATTACAGTTGGAAAGAGGAAATGGAATTTCTCTACTTGAAGATGATACACTCTCACATTTTACAGATACCATTCAAATGATCAAAGCAAGCAAATACATTCAGTAAAGTTACAGGACTGAAAATCACCATGCTGAAATGATATATATTTTTATAAATTAAACAAACTATCCTAAAAATAAATCTGGAGGCAAATTCTATTTTCAGGAAAATGAAAAAGGAAAATCTGTAGGAATAAATGTAACTGAGGAGGTGAAACATGTTTAACATTAAAAAATGAAATAATGGTGAAATAATTTTTTGTAGAAACAGATATTCTTTTTTACTTTTGATGATGTTTACATAGCTGATGGGCGTGGGAGAAGTCCTGGCTCCTGGCTTCAGATTGGCTCAGCACTGGCCATTGTGACCACTTGTCCTATTACTAGGATGATGCACAAGCAAGATATCTTTTCATTGATCACACAATTTGCAAAGCAGTGACTGTCATACTTGTTCAATGATTATCTTTGACGAGAAAGGGTAAAAACTTCAAATAAATGACTAAAAGTTTCTTTCTGAATTTCAGTTTCTCAGAACATTACGTATTCTGACATCATCCTTCCTTATGTCAAAACTGACACTGTTGAACAGTGGAGGGTCCAAATGTGTTGTGTTCTCCTGCCCTTAATGATTTCTCATTGCATAATTTTAGATGTATCTGAAATATGCCCCTTTTGAAATACAAAATAAAACAATGGAGTCTTTATTCCACACCATAGAGTTAAAAATACATACATTAACTATCCAAGTGAACAGGACCAATATGTTCTTTTTATATCTCATGGAAGTGGAATATTCCACATTGAAATTCTTATGTTTCATTACTATTATCTAAAGCAATTTACTATAAATTTTAATGAATCCACTCTATAGGACCTTATGCTTTATGTGAGTGCTGCCATCACAATAATGAATGCAAAGCTGTTTAAGAAAAGTACAAAAACCCAATCCCCACTTGTCAATACATAACTAAAAATAGCAAATTATTATAGCTTGTCAGGCAGTAGGGCAGTACTACACACTATTACGTATATAACACGTAACTATGCAGGGTGTAAGTTCCTGTTATTATCTAAAATACGATATATTTCCTTGAAACAAAATAAGAATATGCTTTGAGAAAATACATTTATGCATACATTTCATATATTACATATCATTTATATTTTTTGTTCAGTGGAACTTTTAGTGAAAGTAACTTGTGCCACTTTCACAATGAAATAAAAGTATTTCCAAAATTCCAGTTATTCAGATATTACTTTTCTCAAAAGATTACAACTCTAAAAATATAACATATTTTCAAAGGTTGTAAGCCATTTAATGATTGCTCAATATTAATTTCTAGAGGTATTTAATATGCAGGACAGTGAGGAATAATAGCACAATCTCACATTTTATTTCTTCTCCAATCACATTTTTTTTTCGAAATTGAATTTTTACCTATTAAGAAATAACTTCCAGATAAACAGAATAGAATGTGGTAGTAATGATTTAACATCAGGATATAGAAACATGGGCCGCACCTTAACTTCGTAACTATGACATAAAATTGCCTAAGTTACTTAACTCTTAGTTTCAGTATAAATTAGAAGAAATTATAACAGAACAATTCATAGGGAAGCTGTTCTTTGGCATGAATCAATCACGTGATTGGAGTGAAATGATAGTGGTAGTGGTAAAATTTCAAGAACCCACTTTATTAACATACTAAGTGTTTAACATGGTTTTTCACATTCTTCTGTCTCTTGAATTTGTCCCTGTGGGGGGGAAAAAATCTTACATTCTCTTTCTTGTTTGTTTCTGTCACCCTAAGTTTTAAAAAGATTTATTTATTTTAATTGGAAAGGCAGATAAACAGAGAGAAGGAGATACAGAGAGAAGGATCTTCCATCCGCTGGTTCACTCCTAAATATCTACTATATGACAGTGAGAATCAGTGAAGCTCATTGATGTTGGTTCCTCTCAGTGCTGTCTTAATGATTGTGATGCGTTTTTCAAGTAATAAATGTCATTAATCAGTGAAACATGACACAATTGATGAAGTACTAACCTTTATAAAATTGTTGTTTGTTTCAGGTACCATAGAGGTTTTGCACAACATGTGACCCTCAGAATAGATTAATTAGAAAATTGGTATTGAGCCCTGGTGTCTACAACTGGTACAGTACCATCTGTAGAGAATCATGTAAAAAGCTTTTACATTCCAAATGAAGTCTTCCACCCCACTCACACTGCCATCTTTCCTATTTGGCCACACATAATCTTGTCAGTGACATTCCTTTGGAACATTTATAATACAAATAAACACTCCCTCGGCCACAGTATCTATAGATATTCAACCAAAAATCATTTATAAGAGATTTTAACATCTGATAACAAAAGCAATGAAACCTGCAAGCATAATCCTTACTATTTTCTATGTTAACAATGGCACCTTAAAGAATAGGGTAGATTTCAAAATATCAGTGATCACACAAAACATTCTATGAGTCCTCTTTTTTCTTCCCATTCCAAGTTTTGGCTCTCCCTAGTGCCTTCCGCAAAGCTCCCTTCACATCCTTGTTCCTCAGAGTATAAATCAGAGGGTTAAGCATGGGAGTTACTATAGTATAGAAAAGAGCAACAAACTTCCCCTCACTCCCAGAGTAAGTTTTCACAGGTTGGAGATAAGTGTAGATAGCTGAGCCATAAAAAAGGACAACAACCAAGAGGTGGGACCCACAGGTCCCAAAAGCCTTTCTGCGTCCAGACATCGACTTGATCTTCAGCACTGCCTGAAAAATGTGTACATAGGAGGTTAGAATTAATGCTACAGGGACAATCAACACTGTGGCTCGAGCCACGAACATCCTGGCCTCTGTTCTTTCTGTGTCCTCACAAGCCAGCTTAAGCAGTGCAGGCATCTCACAGAAGAAGTGGTTTAGGTGATGGAGGCCACAGAGTGGTATGGTCATCATGAGGCTTGTCTGAATCAGAGAGTTCATGAAGCCTCCCACCCAGGAGGCAATACCCATTAGCTGGCATAACCGAGGGTGCATAACGGCAGTGTAGTGGAGTGGCCGACACACAGCAGCATAGCGGTCAAAGGCCATCACCACCAACAGCACACACTCAGTGGATCCCAGAGCCAGAGACACAAAGAGCTGTGTCATACAGCCACCATAGGTGATGGTCCGGTCAAGTCCATGCAGGTTGACCAGAAGCTGTGGCACAGTGCTGGTAGTATAGCAGAGGTCCAGGAAGGAGAGGTGGGACAAGAAGAAGTACATGGGCGTGTGCAGACGAAGGTCTAGTCGGGAGAGAGCAATGATGGTGCTATTGCCAAACAGAGTTAGAGAGTAGAAAATTGAGATACAGACCAAAAGGAGGAGTTCTAGTTGAGGCCAATCTGAGAAACCCACCAAAATGAAGTCTTCTCTGAGACTGCTGTTGACATTCCCATTGCCTTTCATCTGTCCAAACACCGGAAGGCAATTGAATGCTTCCTATAAGAAACGTGAATGAAACTATTATTTCACAGACACTCCACAAACACTTATAACTCGTAG